GTTGTGCTGGAGCCCGGCGGGATGCTCCACTCCCGCGGCCCCGGGAGCTGGGGCTCCCCACCCACTCCCCTCGGCTCTGAGAGAGAACCTGCGGACCTACTGTGACTCCGGGGACCCTCTGTTCCCAGGCCACACCTGTGAAATGGGGCGACACCCGTGCCTCACGCGCACTGTTTTGCCGGCGGACCCTCGTTTTTCTTCCTTTCGGAGCTCCTGTCATTAGGTGTGAACGCCTTGTGTCAACTGGAGTGCTGTGCCCGCCTGCCACCTGTCCGTTGACCCTGCAAACCGGCGGGGAGGCGACCGGCGTTTCTCTGCAGGACCTTTTCCCACGAAAGCCCAACCTCCTTGGGGTTGGAATGCCCTCCAGTCCCACGTGTACTTGTAGGCAATCAGCTCATGAAGCCCTTTATTGAAACCTCTTGTCGGTCTCTGGCTCGGGTTAGCTCCTCAGCAAACCCTTAGCGAACGCCTACTGTGTACCGGTCACTGTGCCAGGAACAGGGATGAAATGAAAACAGACTCGAGCCCCCACATCTGGGAGCTGAAACATCCGGATACATAATCGCATTAGACGGTGGAGTGTGGACCGTGGGGAGGGCTCTGAGGGAGTCTGGCCCTCCGGGCACTGCGGAGGGCCACGGAGCTGGGTGGTGATGCCTGTGGCTCCTCAGTGCTCTTCACGGAGTTGCTTCCTCTGATGCCCAGGGACCACGCGCCCTCTTGGTTGCCTTCCTCTTTTCCACCCCAAAGCGTCTTCTTGATTTTCTCCACCTCCAGCCCAGCCACTGCCTAGCAGCCCCAGACTTGGACCAGTGTCCTGTTGACTCCTGCTTCCCAGTTCTTCCTGCTCCAGGCAGGGAGGTGGCGATTCTGTTTTCTGAAATCAAAGCTTACAGATTTTGACAGCTGCTACAAAACCTTCAAAGCTCCCATCACTTAGGCTCTAGAGCCCACACTGTGGCCTGCTAGGGCAGATCAAACATCCTTTCCTCCTCTCTGCCCTGACCAATTGCTGGCTGTTTTCTTTGACCACTTAGTTCCTTCTACCCAGAAAGCCCTCCTCTTCCCCATGTACGTCGGTAGAAATCTTGTGCATCTTTCCATGTCCAGTTGAACTGCCATCTCCTCCATGAAGTCCTCCAAAAGTCCTCAGGGGGCTGCTGTCTTTCTTTGGATTTCTGTCACAGTAATGCTTACCTTTTATTGAATGCTACATCAGGCACCATGTTAAACCCTTGACATGCATCACCTCTTTTAATGTTCACAGCTTCCCTGTGATATAAATGCTTTTCTTATCATCATTTGCAAATGAGACTCAGAATGAAGAAAAGTAAAAGCCAGAGTGATCCTGTTTTAACAAAGTTCAGATAGCATCACCCCTCAGCTAAAATTGCTTCAGTGGCTCCCCGCCTCCCTGCATTTCTATAAAGAATGACAAGATCCTACAAGGCTAGACATGAATAGCCCTCACCCTTTACTCTCTTCATTATGCCCCAATCCACTGGTCTTCTTGCTATTCATCAGAGGACATCAGGCACATTCCCCATTCCCACCTCTGGGTCTTTGCACTTGCTATTACCTCTGCCTAGACTGCTCACTCTTCTATCCCTAGATCCTTACCTAATGCCTTTTAAAAATATTTGTCTTATTATAATAACATATGCATAATATAAAATTTACCATTTGAGCCATTCGGTGGCATTAAGTACATTTGCATTATTGTTCAGCAATCACCACTACCCATCTCCAGAACTTTTTCACCTTCCTAAACAGAAATTCTGTACCCATTAAACACTAATTCCCCATTTCCTCCTTTCAAACCCTGGTAACCATCATTCTACTTTCTGTTTCTATGAATTTGACCATTCTAGGTACTTCATATAAGTGGAATCATACAATATTGTCCGTTTCTGTTTGGTTTATTTCACTTAGCATAATGTTTTCAAGGATCATCCATGTTGTAGCATGTGTCAGAACTTCACCCCCCTTTAAGACTGAATAATATTCGTGTGTAAGTATATACCACAGTTTTTTTTTATCCATTCATCCATTCATGGATATTTGAACTATTTACATCTTTTGGCTATTGTGAAGAATGCTGCTATAACACCCCTTTTTTAAACACTACAGTTGATACACAGTATATATGTAATTGAATTTCCATCTTGTCTCTGACAAAAGTGAAAGTTCCTAGAGGGAAAGATAATGTTGCAGAATTCTTTCCCATGCCTCCATATCAGGAGCACAATGCTAGAAACAGAGTAGCTAGGATGATCCTTTTATAAACATGAAGCTCACTCTGATCCTGGGAACTCACCTGTGACTTCCCTCTATGTTACATTAATCTATGAGCATCCTTGCCACAGGCCACGAGGCTCTACATCAGTGGTTCTCAACCTTCCTAATGCCGCGACCCTTTAATCCAGTTCCTCATGTTGTGGTGACCCCCAACCATAAAATTATTTTCGTTGCTACTTCATAACTGTAATTTTGCTACTGTTATGAATCGTAATGTAAACATCTGATATGCAGGATGTATTTTCATTGTTCACAAATTGAACATAATTAAAGCATAGTGATTAATCACAAAACAATATGTAATTATGTATGTGTTTTCCGATGGTCTTAGGGGACCCCTGTGCAAGGGTCGTTTGACCCCCAAAGGGGTCGTGACCCACAGGTTGAGAACCGCTGCTCTAAACCTTTGCCTGGTTCTCTCCCTCCCATCTTTCAGCTACCAAATCAAATGTCCCACCTCAGAGAGTGCTTCCCTGGCCAACTCATCTACAATATCAAAGAGTGTCCCCATCACCACCATCTGCTTGATTTTTCTTCAGAACGTTTTGGTTTCCTCCTCTAGATTGTGAGCTCCAAGCAAGGGGGAACTTTGTAATTTTTTTGTCCTGTAGAGTATTGTCCTGTCTCTGCTAGCACAGACTTCCTTTTATTTTTTAAATTAGAAAAACCATGCTCCTTCCAGGCAGAGGAAATTGCCAAAAGGGTGACCCCTCTCCCTGGGCCAGAGCAGCAGGAGCTAAGCCAGGGCACATGGATTTCGGCTCATACTCCTGCTCAACTGCAAGAAACTAAGCCTGGCCCCCTTCCAGGCCTGGAACACAATAGGTGCTCAGTAATTAATGGTTGAGTGAAGTGTAGCAGCTGAGATTATGTACAAGAAAACCTTCCATGTCTCTCTCCTCTCCATCCTTTCTTCCAGCTCCCTAGAGGATTCTGTGTAAAATTGGATTTGAGCTTTTCCTTGTGTCTTACTGAGTGATTTGTTAATCAAAGCTGGTCGGCCTGGTCGGCCCCCAGTGGAAACTCTAACCCATTAGCCCAGCTTTCATCCTGGACTCTGATCTCTTACAATGTGGGATGCTAGGGGGAGGAAACTCCTGGGGCTTTATCCCACTCACTGAGGCAATGCCATTTGAGACATGCGGGCAGCCCATTAGCTCTGGCTGTTTCTCTAGAAAAACTGATCTGGTCATCGACTGAATTAAACAAGAAATGTTACTTTCAGACTGAGCCGTCCTGGCCTACTGTGAGCCTTAAATGAGATAATGTGCATAAAGGGCACACTGCAGATGTGGGCCTAATGAAACTAGTTACTGGCCAAAATGGAAGTCAAACACCAAGAGGAATGCTGAGGAGGGATAAACAGGCTTTCAGCTGCTTGGGCTGTGGCCTGGGTTTGGGTTTTTGCCCTCCAACCTCATGTATCGCCCTCCTGTCACTCGCTCCAAATCAGCCACTTGCACTTCCTGGTCCTTGATGGCACTATGTTCAGTCCAGCCCCAAGACTTTTGCATTAGCCCTTGTCTGGACCAGGAACACTGTTTGTCTGGCTCTTCCCCCATTGGTCGTTCCCTCTTGGTCTTCAAATTTCAGCTTAATTATCCCCTCCTCACAGAGACCCTCCCTGACTTCCCACATGCAGTGCTCTCTCCATACTTCTATTTTCTTTAAACTTTATTTTGGGTGGGTGTCAGGCATACAGCTTAGTCACTAAGCCTTAGTGGTTAGACAATTATATACTTTACGTAGTGTTCCTCTCGATATTTCCAGTAGCCTGATACCATACATAGTTATCACAATATTATTGACTATATTCCCTATGCTGTACTTAGTCACCATGACTATTTTGTAATTATCAATTTGGGCCTTTTAATCCCTTCACCTCTGTCCCCCAGTCCCCGAAGCCCCTTCCTTCTGGCAACCACCAGTTTGCTCTCTGTGTCTATGAATCTGTTTCAATTTCGTTTGTTTTGTTCTTTAGATTCCACATGAGTGACATCATACTTTACCTTTTCTATGTAGTCTTCACAGTGCATCTTCCTCTTGGCTAAAATCTTATATATTTGCTTATTTACTTGTTTTCATGGTACACAGAAAGGGTTTAATACATACATTTGATGAATGGTGAGTATCTCCTATCTTCTCCCATCTTCCCATCTTTACTTCCACATCTTTC